AATTAATCACTTTTAATATAACGTAACTAGCCACACAAATATTTAAATTAAAACCACAAATTGAAAGGAATATCAAACTCAAAATTAATGGGTAGATTTACCGTACATACCTAGTCATTTCATTTACGATCTTATCCATAAAAAAAGGAAGAAGTCAATGAGAGACGATACCTAGAAATGAGATTATCCATAACAGAGTTAGGGTCGCCACCGATTTTAAATGCTTGGTAGAACGATAAAGAAGAACCAACAAGAGGCCATCCCATATCCCCTGGAGGGAGGGCATTGTAAACCAAAAAACTTCTAGACATCTCTCAGAATACCCAACAAATGATGTGGCATCAATGATTGTGTCTTGTTTAATAGTCTATAGAATTTGTGCATCCATTATTCTATTATACAATCTATTTAATAATTTCATCTTTAATACCAATTAACTAGGATTCTCGACTATTATATTAAAACTCCACCAGGGCTCACCCGAAATTTAAGGTAAATATAAGATATAGTATTTCAAGCCGATTAAGAAAAAAAAAAAAGGGATTTTTTTCTTGGGAAATTAATAGCCTTGATAATTTTCCCTACCGATAGAAGTCTATTGAGTTAATAGATTTTTATCCTATACTATTATACAAAAAGACATATCACATATAAGATAAATAATCTCAACACGCTCCTTAGATTTATTTATGGCCTTCAAGGAGCCGTATGAGGTGAAAATCTCATGTACGGTTCTGTAATAGCGATTAGAACAATGATGTTATTGCCGACTATGATTATCTAACAATTCGCGAGTACAGATGATATAGTTGATGCTCAATCAAAATATGGTTTTTGGGGGTGGAATTTGTGGCGTCAACCTATAGGGTTTGTTACTTTTTTAATTTCTCCCTTAGCAGAATGCGAGAGATTACCTTTTGATTTACCGAAATATCACACATACACCACAATATGCAAATAAGGAAGAAAACTATAAAACACAAGAAAAAACAACAAAACAAAATTATACTGGTTCACCATTAAGGGCTATGTCTAATCTTTCACTCAGATATGGTAATTCACTAATAATGTTAAGGATTGGATTACATATTTTTCCTTCTTTTTATGTTCCATTGTTTTGTTTCCAATTCCAACAATTTTAAGAAAGAAAAAGGAAAAAAAATCGTACTTCAAATTCTTAAACCGTGTTGCTCCTAAAACCCCACGTTCCTTTTTGCCTCGCTGCTTCTGTCGCTTCCCATTTTTTGTTCTGTTTCTTTATTCACAGGCTATCGAAACCTAAAAGTAGTGACACACATTCATTAAATAATAAAATTATTATTGAAAATGTTACTAAAATATTTTAAAGGGTATATAATAAACATCAATAAACAAAATGTAATTAGAAGCACAAATACCCAAAACAATGTAGTTAGAAACAAAAATACTAAGACCCAAAACAAATAGATGGACAGAGGAACAAATAACAAATACCGCGAACATAGGAACAAATACGGTGAACATTTAATAAAAAATGTGAACAAATAAGGTTAATATATAATGTAAGAAATAAGGTATATTTTTGTGAACAATTAATACAAAAAATATAAAGCACTCTACTATACACAATATATCTCTCCTCCGTCACCCGCCACCCCACTTGCAATTAGCTCTACCACCCACCGTGTTGTCTCACCGTTGTTCCCTCGTTGGATTTCCGCTGTCTCCCTTTCTCCCCTCTCTCTCCCTTCATCAACTCCCACGCCGATTGTTTCTCTCTTTGATTGTCTCTACTCACTGGTCTTCTTAGTGTCATGTCTCTTAAATTTGGTGAGTTCTATCTCTACGTATATATTAAACAATAATGGTTAGAAAAAAAAACTAGAATGAAATAGAATCTAGGAAATACAATGGAACCAAATAAAAAGGTTAGAAGTGTCCAAATCAAACTTGTAAAACAATAAAAAAAAAAAATACAAATTGATATTTTTCATCGTCAAATATCATTTGACAATTTTTCAAAACCAAACCATAAACAGGATCACCTATGGTAGATTCTCTAACTATTTGGATCTAAAAAATCAAAGATCCACTCCAATAATTGTTAAATTTAAAAATAAAAAATATTGGACAATAGAAATTCACGTGATTCACGCGAGGACCCATCACTTTCACTTATTTCAGACCACGATATAATGTTATAAACCAGACAGAGGGATAAAAGGACAAATGCAAATGGAGGGTGTAAAATAAACATGAAATACTACCTAGGGAGGGGGACACAACGGATTTGTATGTGCTAGAAATATTGCAAACTGGTGATGTTTAATTCAACGTGGACAACTAAGATTAAGGATCCCACGTTAAAAAATAATAATAATAACAACAAACAACCTAATCCCACCAAGCACTACAACAATAATTTGAAGCTTTCGTTATGCTAATGAACAGAAAAAAGACGTGAAATTGACACAAATAATCTAATAAAGTTTTCACTTTGCTCCAATAATCAAACCTTTTTCTGACCCAAATCAATTACAAACGGGGATTGAGATATAATTTTAACCTCCAATGACATTTTTTTTATTTGGGTTTGTTGAAATTAAAATAAACATAAATTTCTGACTTGAATACCAACTAAGATTAAATAAATCTCGCCCCCTTTATTTTTTTTTTTAATTTGGGTCCGTTAAAATTAAATGATATTAAATCTTGAGCATGAATCTGAGCTAGGCTTCATGCAAACTCGCTCAAGTTTTTTATTATTTGGGTTCGTTGATTTTTTTCTTTTTTGGGTAGGATTTGTTGAAATTGGGTGGGCATAAATGAATTTATGCGATTTCAGTTCGAGTTCTTCGTTGACTACAAAAAATTGAGAATCATTCACAACAAGAATCAAACTAGAGTAAAAATGACCACAAATCCTATAATAAAACTTGGACAGCAATCCGAGTAGTCTTCGATCCAATTTACCACAAAACTCGAACAAACTTTGTTCGAGTGTTTGGATTTCTGTAAAAAAAATTTGGACAAACTCAGGCGAGGTTGTGGCTGGATTTTCATTTTCGCTCTAAGGATCCATTTTGAGAGTTTTGAAAAAAAAAAAAATTATTTGCAAAAACCCGGGCGGCTTCATAAAAAAACCCGCCCGGGTTAGCCCAAGTTTTCATTTCTCCGGGCTGAGTTATGTAATTCTTGGGCAAGGTTAATTATCACATAAACATATTGCATACTTTCTCTTGTTATTTTGCTTGTTGGCTTAATACATCCCTTTCCTCCCTCGTGTCTAAAGTTCGAATCTAACAGATGTCAATTGTAGTTTCGTTGTTATTTTTCCATAATTGACCAAAAAATATATATATAAACATAGACCTTGCGCGAGTACCAAATAAATTTCGTAAAAACTCGGGCAGGTTTGAGGTCTGCTTCAGACTTTCGAAAACTTTTTAGGTCATAGGTCAATTTTCCAAAAAAAAACCTTGGAAATAAAAAAAACGTCATAAATTATAAAATTCACATTTTTTTTGGGAAAAATAGTTTTTGGGATACTTTTCGTAGCATTTTTTAACTATCACAAAAAATTGGAAAAAATACATTTTTTCTTGACAGTTAAGAAAGTCACGAAATGTTATGTTATGGGAAAATAAAATATTTTCCAAGTTTTTTGGGTTTTGCGTTGACGGAAGGAAGCTGAAGTTACCCAAATCTCAAGGATATTCCTCGAAGTCCCAAGCCATCCAAGCTACCTTTTGAGGATGTCAATAGTTTTGGAATTTGTCATATTTTAGATTTATATTATTTTATTTACATTTTTTTTAATTTTAGTTTGTAATCTACCTTAAATTTATAATTTATTTTTAAAATTACATTATTTGTGAAATTAGCGATTTTCATATTATCTAGTATTTATGACGCTTATTAAACATCGAGAAAGCACAAAAAATAAAGATTTAAATGTCCCGAAAGATTTCACGCATATGTGTTTTCAATTTTCGAAATACTTTATTTCGACCATTTTGCTTGTGTATATTGTGAGTTTTTCATGTGTTTTGGTTGTTATTATTAGATTTTACTAATTGGATGACCTTAAATTAATCTCCTATGTCTTCCCTGCCCGTTTTCAACGTAGACTACTTCAGCATTTATTTAGTTTTAGTTTTGTTTTGTTCATTTAGGTAAATTAAATTTAAGGATTTGGGAAAGAGATTTTGATTTAAATGTTAACAATCAAACTATTGAAAATTTTATTATTCTCTTTTTGATTTTATCTATGCATGTATAAATCAAAATCCTACATTGATTTTTTTGGTTTCAATCGAAAATTATTTAACTAAGACTTAAAAATTGGAAAGCTTAGATTAGTTAAAAATTTGAATTTGCAAAAAAAGAATTTTATGATTAAATCTCAAAAGTAAGGTTTTGAAAATTGAGTTTTCATTAGCTTATGTAAAATCCAAATTTATAGATTGCTTTGAAATTGATCTGTGACGTTTAGAAAAATATCATAAAATATATAATTAAATCTCAAATGTAAGGTTTTGAAATGGTAGCTCCTTTTCACTATCTCTTCGATCCCTTCCTCTCACACAATCTCGCTCCACTTTGGCGGCGCCTCTAATAAGCAAACGTGCAGAAGATCTCACGGCGGCGTCTTAATTTTACAGAAAATTGTTCAAGGTATTTAGTATTATATTTGTAAAACAGTGAGAATTATCAACGAAATATTTAGTTATATCTAAAATAATATTAATTGATTTATCAACGCATATGTTATAAATTTTGTAGAATTATTATTTTACAATTGATAGTATATAACGTGAGTTACATTTTATGATATTTATATTTGAATTATTTGTTAGTTTTCGTTTCTTTATGACTGATTTATGCCTATAAAGTTATATTTTTCAAGAATGAATAGTCACGAGGAAACGAGACATAAATGAATCAAATTGAGAGTATAATCATAGCCCAAGTGAGCAACAAAGATATTACAAAACTTTTTGGACCCTAAGTATCCAAGAGAACAGTGTCGGGCACCTGAAAAGACAACACAACACTTGCAACAAAGAAAGACGAAATTAGAAATTTGGCTCGAGACAAGTGCCTAAGCGCTACATCACAGCGCCTAGGAACCGGCCCAAGCGTCACGGCGCGCCAAACTTTTCTTCCGCCCCGCCTTTTTCCACTGCAGCACCATGACGCTCATTTATGGCGCCATGGCACTGTCGCGACAGTTTTTTTTATAAAATTAGGTTTTTTAGTTGCTTTCAGGAATCTTTGACACTTTTTGAAGAGAGACATGAGATAACTTGAAAATAGAGGGAAAATAAGC